AGGGCACAGAGGTAGAGGAAGTAAAAGGAAGGTAAAGTTAGTTTAAACTTCAAGCTATGTGTACTGAAATGTAATCTCCTTTTTCTGTGTTTATTTTGAAATATGCAAGCTTTCTAACTTGAAGAAAGTAGTAATATTCTGAGTGGACCATAAAAAAAGTTAATGAAAGTAAACTTTTTTCACAAAAGCAGCTATTAAGTGTTTAAAGAAGTGGAAGAGATAGATCAATACCATTAGCATTGTCATATCTAATGGAACATGCACTGAAGAGAATACTTGACGAGAATGTTACACTGAGAAGCCCAACTACTCTTATTAATGGACGTTTTCAAGGGAGGTCCCACATGGATTTTCTGTGTGTAAGACTCAGAGAAAGGTTGCATACCAGAGTGAGCATAGTGGAAATCAGTTTAAGTTCTTTAAAGTTCAGTTTAAGTACTTTAAAATGTAAGTGAGCTACTTAATCTGTAATGTTTTGCTGCAGAATAAGCTGCAGAGACTACATGTGAAATTATAATAGAGTTTCTTTCATGTGAACTTCCACAGTGAATTAAAGAATTGAAATGCCAACTGAACATGATCCTGAGCAACCTGCTGTGGTTGACCGTCCTTTGAAACATGGGTGAAATGAAAAGAGTCTTCAGATGTTGGTGCCAACTTGAACTTCTGTTTCTCTGATCCTGTAAATTGTAGATGCTCACAGTTCTTTAAATTAACAGATGAAACTGTTGGTCATTGTTTTCAAGTTTATGTTTAAAAGTAGGCTATTGATAAACTCTTAAATGTCTTTTGTGTTTGCGGCTTGGTAGTTCTTAATTTTTTTTTTGTTGTTTTTTCTTAAGGCCTTTGGGTTTGCCACAAGCATAGCACACAACTTTTTGGTAGAGTTCTATTGCAGCTTAAGTGACAGCAGTGCAAGTGCAAGTATGTGTTACATGTGCACATACAGATACAAAAGAAGTGATCCAACTCTTCATGTTGYKTAWTATTGTTCTAWRTTGTTTTGGTTTGTAAAATATAGGAAAATATTGGGTTTTGGATTCTGTGCCATGCTTCTGTCTTACAGACTTGAACATTGTGTTTCTTCATAATTTTAATATTTCATTTTGTTTCTGTGTTTAGTAGTTTAATGAGAGCAGTTGCTTAAGTGGCTGCCTTAACTTTTTTATTCTGCTTTATTTTCGTATTCCTCCACTGTTAAGGAAAAGTATTTTCTGGTTGCAGATGTCTGTAAATATTCCAGAAGTAGTCTTAATATTTGTGTGTAAGTAGGAA